CCTCTGGGGTGGACAGCACAGACACACCAACACAGGCAGACCCCGGAACCCGGAGGCCCTGCCGGCTCCATTGCCAGACCACTGCCGGGGAGCCAGGCTGCGATCCAGCGGGTCCCACGGCCCATGGTTCCCAGAGCTCAGATGAAGGACGCTTACATGTAGGCGGCCTGTCAGCTGTTCGACCCACCTCACTGTCATGGAGCCAGCACCGACTCTGGGGCCTGTAGATAGGGTGGGGGTGGGGACCGGCTTTCCTGTGGCTTTCCAAGACAGCCACTCCTGGGGGACTAAAAAGCCTCTTCTTTCTCCCTTGGAGAAGCTGGGGATTTCGAACTACTGACCATGCAGTTAGCAGCTCCATGTGTGGATACTATGCCCTAGGGGCTCCCAAGGTGTTGGGAGGATGGCCAGCAAGGGACACAGCACAGGCAGTAGGGACAATGGTGCCAGCAGGCTCCCTGGACAAAGGGTGGTTGCAAACCATATATATATATATATATATATATATATATATATATATATATACACACACACACAATATACATATACACATACACATACATATACACAAATATACATATACACATACATATACACATACACTCATATACATATATGCATACACACATACATACACATACAGATACACTGCATACACAAATAGGCCGAGGACCTCTATACATCTATTTCACTGTACAGAGTGCAGCACCTGTGAAGTGCAGTCAGGTGAGGTCAGCCTGCCAGGTAACACCCACAGCTCCAGGGCAGGCCTGCCTCTGAGGCGCTGTGAGCAACCTCCCCAGAGCTGGGTACTCGTGTCTTTTATGGCTTTGTCAGCATCACCCAGGGCAAGGGTCTGAGGTCGATGGCACCCGGACCTTGCCGGGCTCAGAAAGAGGAACATGTCTGCTTCACTGGGAACAAAAGTAACCCCTGGCCAAGCAGAACTGCTTCATGGAGCCCAAAGGCAGTTGACAGCCACAGCTTTCCCCCGTGGAGGGGAGGGGGGCTTCTGGAACTTCAGGCGTGGGCTTAACCCTCTGTGCCACCAGGGCCCCTCAAACAACCGAAGCCGCACACAGTCGGTCTCCAGGCCTTCCCAGAGGGCCCTCAGTGCTTGGGGTGCTCACTCTGTGAGGGCCTGTGAGACTGGAGCCTGGCCTCTCTCCAGATCTCCCAGGAGGGGCCCCAGAACCTGGAAGTGTCCCCAAGCTGCAGTTCTGGAGTCTCCTTAGAGAAGCCCTTCCTCTCCTCCCAGGTTCTTGCCTCTGGCTCCCTCAACCCCCGGGACCCCCACAGTGGGAGTCAGGGTGGAGCAGAGACCACCTGCAGTACCACTGGTCCCTGTGGCTGCTTAGCCTCCCCTCCCCCCCCACAATGCAATGTACCAGCTCTCATTTGCTGTTGATCGGACGGGCCTTTACCTGACTCTCGTACGCAGCCTGGCTGTCCCGTTTTCCGTGGGGGCAAGGCATCTCATGGGCCCCGACGGAGTCCTCGTCCGAGGTGTCCACATCGTCCAGGGACTGGGCTGGGGGCTGGTCTCCCCTGATGACGCCTTCGGAGTAAGAGCAGGGGTGAATTATTAGGTGGGAGCACCGGTACCAGTGGGCTCCCCTGGGAGAGAACCCAGAGAGCAGAGGCCACCAGCCCGGAACTGCTGATAGATGGGCCAGTCCAAATCCTGCAGTCAAGGGGAAGAGGGACCCGCCCGCGTCTTCTCCCAGGAGAAGATGCAGGAAGACAGAGGCCCCTGTCCCGGCAGGGTTGGTGACAGGGTTCAAAGCCACTTTGTGCTATCTCTACCATCTGCATCTACATAATCTGTATCACCTCTATGTCCACATCCATATCATCTCTATGTGATCTCTGTCTCCATCAGCATCCATATCATCTCTATGTCGATCAACATCCATATCATCTCTGTATCAACATCCATATCATCTCTATACCGACATCCATATCCTCTTTATATCATCTCTATATCAGCATGCATATCCATCTCTCTATCAATATCCATATCATCTCTATGTCTATCAACATTCCCATCATCTCTATATCAACATCCATATTATCTATACATCTATAACTGTATCATTAGATTGATAGCTGAACCTAAGCATGTGTCTGGATCTATAACCATACCAACACCTACATCAACATTCATATCATCTATACCAATATCTATATCTATAGCACCCACATCTATACTTACACCTACATTCATATTCTATTTCACCTCTATCTCATCTATCTGTCTATCTATCTGTTTATCTATTTCATCCATCCATCCATCCATCCATCCATCTATCATCTAACTGTCTATCTATCTATCTATCTATCTATCTATCTATCTATCTATCTATCTATCTATCTATCTATCTATATCTATCCATACATCCATGTCTCTGAGGAGGTTTTATGTTAAGAAGGAATGGAAAGATGGTGGAGTTTCTCCATGAGCGTTTTGAAGTCCCCTCATATGTGTACCAAACCAATCACACCCAGGGAACGGACTCTGACTCCGTGGCTCTCCATGCAGGGCAGAGCTCTGCAGGGTTCCGAGGTTGTCTGTCTGTCTGTCTGGTGGGCGCAGACAGGCTCATCCTTCTCCTGAGGAGCGGCTGGTGGGTTTGAACTGCCCACCCGGAAGTGAGCAGCTCAAGGCTTAACCCACCTCACAACCAGGCCTCAATCCATAGGTGGTTAGTTGTGTGTGTGTGTGTGTGTGTGTGTGTGTGTGTGTGTGTGT